CACGACATTCTAATTTACTGAGATGCACCGGTGTATATATATGATTCAATATGCTGGAGATCCCCATCAAATCCATCAGCCTATAGGTACAAGCAAGACAAGGCACGCAACCTTACTTACTGTATAAGGAGTGCGAAAGTCCCCATCCGCACAGGCCGCAAATGGAAGGCACAAGCTGAAGTACAGCATGCTATCTCTAGTCTGCAACATCGAGAGGTGATGGGGTTAGTCCAGACTGGGGAGCACCACAGCACCTCTGGTCTAAAGCCACCAAGAGGCAGCAGAAGACCATGGTGCTGGATGAAATTACCACTGGAGCAGGAGCACTTCCACGTAAAGGCAATATCTCAGGGCAGTCAAGGAGCCTGGACGCGATGGGATGTGACTGTGAACAGGCGCATCACTTGGGCAGATATCTGGAGGGTGCCACAATCCAGGCTCAGCTTTCTATTAAGGGCGTCCTATGACACCCTCCCATGCCCCCGGAACCTCACCCAGTGGTTTGGAGACAAGGTAGGCTGCCCCCTGTGTGGCAACATCAAGGCAAGCATCCAGCATATATACAGTGTATATATATATTAGGGCTGTCAGTCAATTAAAAACTTTAATCTAATTAATTACATGATGTGTCCATTAATTCCTTATAGTCAATTACTTACCTTTTTTTTAACGTAGCTGTACTTTATGGCAATATTTCATATGCAATAATAACTATAATATCAGTAACTATATCAATAACAATATCTATATATCTTATCTATTTTTATTTACACATACTTCATGACAATACTAAATTATGTATATATGTACAGACACATCACATACTGTACATATGTGTTAATTAATCTAATTAATCGCAAATTACATTTGGCTATGAAAATACCCCCAAAAGATTATTTAATGCTATTTTTTGTGTTAAATGAGACATTTTTAAGTAGACATTACGTAATTACATGATGTGTCGATTAATTAATCTAATTAATCGCAAATTATAATTGGCTATGAAAATACCCCCAAAAGATTATTTAATGCTATTTTTTGTGTTAAATGAGACATTTTTAAGTAGACATTACGAATAGTAGCTTTAGAAAGAAATATTTTATTTGATTCAACATAAAAAAAATTTTTACATATGGACCTGAACGTTTAGGCTACAACGGCCCAACATAAACTATGGAAAATAAAAGAAGATAATTTGAGAAATGTTTTTTTTTTCGTTCATATTTTCATAGCCAAATGCAATTTGCGATTAATTAGATTAATTAATCGACACATCATGTAATTAATTAGCCCTATATATATATATATATATATGATGTAAATCAGGGGTGCCCAACCCTGCTCCTGGCGATCGACTGTC